ATCCTGTCTGCGCTGCACGCCAGGCTCATGACTTTACACCATCTCAAGCGCCCATACCCTCAGGCTCTAAATTCTCCATACTAGAGAACAGGCAGAGAAATCGTGCGCAATGCAGAGCTTGTTTTACCTTCTCCCTGAGCCAACCTAGGAGTCAACCCTCGCGCCTGATCCCTGGAGAGCTCTGCAGGATGGATGTCACTCCTTACCCCTCCCTTCGCAAAGCTTAAATATGTACATGTCTCTATAAATACTTACAGTGGATTTATCTTTGCTTCCCTACAAACAGCGAGGCACCCGCCACGTCTTATCGCATTGTTATAGCCTGTCTCACCTCCTCCTTCAGCCTAAAGTTAGTTAAGATCTGACAATGGCCCAGGAAATGTCAGCTCCATTTAAAGTGTTTGTGCTCACTAGGCATTAAGCATGTTACAGGCTTCCATAAACCCTGCAGCGGCCAAGGTATTGTAAGAGAGCTCATCAGATTAAATAATACGCCTCTCCCAAACTACAGATCGGAAGAAGAATTTTATAGTCTTGACAGGTAATTCCAAAACCCTGCTTAATCATGCCGCTGTTCATTTAAATTTCTCACCTTAACACTGCCGGTAAAACGGCCGCGACCCGCTCTTGCACCATCAACCACGGATACTTATGCACAAGGCTTGATGGAAAGAGCCGCTTATGGCAAGATGGTTGGGCTGACCTGTCCTCATATGGGGAAAGGACGATGCCCTGGTATCTACGATCAGGCAGAAACGCCGATGGCTACCTGGAGAATGATTAAGTTATATAATCCACCCGGAACCTGAGAGAGAATTCTTTTTTTTTTTTTTTTTTTGAGACAGAGTCTCACTTGTGCCAGGCTACAGTGAGTGCCGTGACGCTCAGCTGGCTCACAGCAACTCAATCTCTGGGGCTCAGCGTCTTCTGCCTCAGCCTCCCAGTAGCTGGACTAAGCATGCGCCACCAGTGAGCACCGGCTAATTTTTTTTATGTATATATCATTTTTAGTTGGTCACATTAATTTCTTTCTATTTTTGGTAGAGACGGGCTTGCTCAGGCTGGTTTCGAACTGCGCTGACCTTGAGCAAGTCCACCCGCCTCGGCCTGCAAAGTGCTAGGATTACAGCGTGACCACCCGCCGGCCAAGAATTCTTGATTCTGTGTCTACCTTCCAGAAAAATTGATCCTGGAGAAAGATATTGACGCTCCTGTGCCTAGTTGTAGCAGCGGTCAGAAACACCGCGCAGCCAACATCCACAGTCTACAACGTGATTACAATGGCCAAATAAGTTAAATGAGGCAGGGGGACGTTGCATATTCCTCCTCGCCACTGTCCGCCACTTACACCATGGGATCACTAAAAGTCGATATGCCGGTTGGCCCTTAGAGCCCATGACTATTGTGGCACACTCTAATTTGCAGCCACTAGGTAAAACCCATGTAACACAGGAGACAACGAGACTGCCCCTGACTTCTTTTGTGCCTCCTGGGGCTGTGAGAGCTATGCGATACTACTGGAGCCCCTCTCTCCTGGGACTATATAACAGTCAGAAGAAAATCCTTCCCGCGTACCACCTCAACAGCGTTCGGTCCCCTTTAAAGAAAGAGTGAGCAAACCAGGGTCAACCCCCTGTTAATTTCGTTCACCAGAGCTGGAATGAAGGCGCCTTGGGGACAGTCCAGGGATTCGAATCGGGGGCTCAGACTCTATGCATATCGGGAGAGATATTGTTCACATTTAAAATCAAGTTAGGCCGGTCCGGTGGGCTCACGCTGTAATCCGCTATCTCTCTGTGGAGGCCGAGCGGGGTGGATTGCTCCAGGTAAGGTGGTTCGAAACCAGGCTTAGCAAGAGCAAACCCCATCTTTACTATTAATAGGAAAGAATTAATTGCTAATATATATAGAAAAAATTTAGCCGGGCATGGTGGCGATGCTGTAGTCAGCTACTTGGAGGCTGGCAGGGAGGAGCTTGAGCCCAGGAGTTTGGAGTTGCTGTGAAGTGGAGGCTGACGCCATGCATCACTCTAGCCTGGCAACAGATGAGATCTGTCCAAAAAAAAAAAAAATCAAGTAATTAAAAGCCTCCAGAAGGTCCCACAGTCGCAATAGGCCTAATAACAACTACACCTACCACAGCCTCGCGATCCCTCCAGGGGACTACCCTCCTCCCAACTGTCCTTTCGTCCTTCAGGCAGCCTTCCCTATACCGACCTACCCTACCCGAGGGGCCGCCTTCCTCGGCAGAACTAATTCTCTCCTTAGTCAACGCCTCTGTCAGGACCATCCGAGAGGCCAATAATTCAGAATATCAGGAGTGTTAGGTATGCTACTCCCCCCGGCCTCCCTTCTATGAAGGCGTCGCTACTTTTGGTGAGCCATTATTTACTAACAACACCAGCAGACTCAGATGGGGCCTAGAGACCCATGGTGGCCTGACACTCAGCCAAGTCACAGGCCTAGGTCTTTGCCTTCTTGGCCCAAAGATGCTTCCTCTCGCACCCTTAGAAAAAATGTGCAATCAGTCAATTACTGTCAACTCCACTTTTCAGTATATTCAGGCATCTAACACCTCTTATTTTGCTTGTTCTTCCGGCCTTACCCCGTATGTAGTCACTGCAACGTTTCTTGAGCATAGAGAATATTGTGTGTTAGTCATGCTCTTCCCCAAACTCACTGTACATCCTGCTGATGAGTTACTTCAGTTTTGGGAGCGAGGCACCACAATGCCCCGGGTAAAAAAAAAACCCATCACAGCCATAACACTCGCAGTTGTTTTGGGCCTTGGTGCCACAGGGGCTGGAACAGGCATAGCCTCTCTAGTCACCTCCAACCAACAATACCTGCAGCTCTCTGTGGCCATCAATAATGATCTCCGAGAGCTACAGCAGAGCCTAAAATATCTCAAAGAATCCCTCGCTTCACTTTCTGAGGTAGTGTTGCAAAATAGAAGAGGCCTAGACTTAGTGTTCCTCCAAGAGGGAGGTTTGTGCGCAGCACTTAAAAAAAAATGCTGCTTCTACGCAGACAAAACAAGTCTAGTAAAAGATAGCATTGAGAGAGTTAGACAAAGCCTTAAAAATAAAAAAAAAACAGAGGGAACAAACTGAGGCATGGTATCAAAATTGGTTTTCCACATCCCCCTGGCTATCCACTTTGCTTCCCAGTGTCTTGGGGCCGTTTGTAGGTTTTTTGCTGCTTCTCACCTTTGGGCCTTGGGCATTCAAAAAACTAACCAACTTTGCCAAGTCGCAGGTAGACGCAGCCACACAAAAATCGGTCTCCGTGTTTTACCAACGGCTAGAACAATGAGGCTCCAGAGAAGACCTCCATACAGAGCCTCCCCATACAGCCACAAAGGGTCTAAATTTTTCAAACCTTGCCTCAGACATGGAACACAGTTGGTTCCAAAGGCTATAGAGACGCCCATGACAGGATTATCACGATGCCGCGTACCAGGTGCACACCCCGCCGACGGTGAGGTGGCTCCATGACGGGAATATTGTAGGTCCATGCCCGGGGGCACACTTCATCATTAAAAGTGCCGGAGCTGGATGCCACCTACATAGCCTAAGACAGAGGCCTCACCTCCACATTAATCACACGATCTTGTTTGGGGTGCTGGTCGCGGAAGCCCATCGCGTAGCCTAAGACAGGCTCTCCACCAACCTGTATAAATCTCCCTCATATTAATAAAGAGAGGGGGAGATGTTAGAGACTAAGACCCTCAACACCCCAACAACTTGTCCTAAGCATGGGCCTCTCGAGCAACAAAAGGTCCCGTGGGTCCAGACACACGACTGGAGTGTTCTTCACCAAAAATGTCTCCATCTGGGTAGAAAAAATTTTGGCGATTCATCTTTTTAATATTTTCAGTAGGGCGTGCATGTTTTAATGACCGTGAAGTATTTTTTTATTTTAATCATCAGAAAACACAGGAAATGATTTGTACTCTGGGAGATGATTCCAGCGTGGGCAGCTTGCCCCACTTTCCCTCCCTGCCCCTTCTTTGTCTTTCCGCAGCGAACCCCCAGGGCCGGGCTGGCTGGGGGGGTCTGGGGGGGCTTCAGGTGGAGCGAGAACAGCAGGTGACCCGGGAGCACCCCTGGGGACCCAGCCCAAGGTGCCCGCCGCGGGGCTCTGGCACAGCGGGGCCTGTTTCGTGTAGAAGCAGCGCCATCTGGTGGCCACTTCTGGTGACATCAGGATGCCAGTCCTGGTCCTTGGAGATGGGGGAGGCGGCCATGGGGGTGGTCACCACGGGGCGGGCGGGCAGGATGACAGGCATCTTGGAGGAGGCGTGGGGGAGGGAGGGAGGAATGGTTCTGCCATGACTCTTCAGTGGCAGAGTTGGACAGGAGGCATCTACAGACGCCCAGGAACCCAGACGCCCCGTTTCCAATCGGTCCAGCCCCCACCTGTTCTCCCATGTGCAACTTGACTCAGGTGTATCAGATGGGAGGGGGGACAGGAGCAGGGACGTGGGCTTGCTGTGGGTGGGGTGCACGTCCCCACCCTGTTCTGGGGGTGGGGAGCACGCCCTGCTGGAGGAGGAGGGGGGAGGCTTCTGCACGGGGGTCCCCATGGGTGTCACCATTGCCTGCAGACACCTGTCCAGCACAGGGTGTACCTCTGCAATGTGGCACCTCACCGCGGAGCTACGTGGGGGTCTGTTAGCACATCACGCCTGAGGCTCATGGGCCGGTGCTGGGCGAGGTCATGCAGCCGGAAGGTGGCCCTGAGGCCACCTCCCCACCCTTTCCCTCACCCTGCCTGACATCTCTCAGCCTTGGTTCCCTGCTTCCCTCGGTGTCCATGGGCTCTGCAGGGAGAGTGGTCAGGGCCACGTCCCTCCAGCTCTGCGTCCAGCCCTCAGGTCCCGGGGCAAGGGCTGGGCAGCGGGCAAGGTCACCCCTAGTCCTGGGAGTATCTGGGCACGTGGGGGCGAGGGTGGGCGTCTCGGGGCAGGCCCTGCGGGGTTGGGGGCTGGCCGCCCCCTACACGGAGCCCAGGGGCAGCGACGGCCCCGCCCCAGCCGGCTCGGCCGCCTCCCCCAGGGCCCTCTGCAGGACGGCCCGCAGCGGCTCCCGCTTCCCCGGCTGCCGGCCCATCGCGAAGTAGATGACTGGCTTGGAGCTGCAGTTGATGCAGGCCAGGAAGGCGGCCAGCGGGGGGAAGATGGGCAGCAGGAAGTCCAGGAGGGGCCGCAGGCTCCAGTAGAGCACGAAGGGCAGGCCGCAGAAGGAGAACAGCAGCACCGCGCCCAGCGTGACGCCGTAGAACCGGGGCCGCTGGCGCTGGGAGCAGCAGGCCACCCAGATGAAGAGGACCAGGCCGGCCACGCAGGCCACGCAGACCAGCGCCAGGAGCCAGGTGACGCTGGCCGCGTGGTAGCGCAGGCAGGCCAGCGGGCGCGCGGGCCCCCACAGCAGGCCGCAGGCGTGGGCGGGCACCAGCACGGCCGGCAGGGTCAGGGCCCAGGCCAGGGAGCAGAGCACGGCCGAGGCGTGCCTGGGCCGGCAGCGCTGGTAGCAGCCGGGGAAGATGTCGGAGACGCAGCGCTCGGCGCTGAAGGCCGCCAGCAGACACAGCCCCGCCGCGAAGCCCAGGAAGGTGATCACGAAGTAGAGCAGGTCCTCGGCGCCCAGGGCGGCCTGCGCCACGGAGAAGCCCACCTGGCAGCCCAGGAACAGGAAGTCCGCGGCGGCCAGGTGCAGCAGGTAGACGGACAAGGGCCCCTTCTTGATGTGCAGGCCCAGGTTCCAGAGCACCAGCCCGTTGCCCAGCAGCCCGCAGAGTCCGACGGCCAGGCTCAGGTAGAAGGCGACGCTGTGGAAGGTCTTCCAGAAGCCGAACAGCCCGAACATGGTGGCGGCTCTGCGGGCACTCTCCAGGGACCTGCCGGGGGGGGGGGGCAGTGTTGGCCACAGGCATCACGTGTGCACCACGCAGGGACACGGGGAGCCCCGGGTGTCGTCCTGGCACCGCTCAGGGCCACCTTCCGGCTGCATGCCCTTGGCCGGCGCCCGGCCCGTGAGCCTCAGGTGTGATGTGCTAACAGACCCCCACGTCCCTCCGCGGTGAGGTGCCACATTGCAGGGGTCCGCCCTGTGCTGGACAGGTGTCTGCAGGCAATGGTGACGTCCACGGGGACCCCCGTGCAGAAGCCTCCCCCCTCCTCCTCCAGCAGGGCGTGCTCCCCACCGGGAGCCCCTCGGGTGGCCCCCACCGCGGCCCAGGGCCCGGGCCACGCTCCTGCTGGGGTGCCCGCCCCCAGGGGTCTCTGGAGGTGTCCAGTGCTGCCCCCAGGACACTCTGTCCTGCACTGGGCAGAAGTTTCAGGTGGCCTCGGGAGGAGGCAAGATGACACGTGGGGCAGGAGAAGGCGGAGGGAGACCCCAGCACCCCCCTCCCCGGGGCAGTGAGGTCGGATGCCGCTCTGCAGCCTCACATCCAGGGAGGGGACTTCGGTGTCAGGTTGCGGGACCCTGGGGTCCTCCCAGGAGGGAGCACAGGGAGAAGCGGACACAGGGTTTGCTGCCAGCCTCGAGGATGGAGAGGCACGAGCCCCACGCGTCCCAGGGGATGTCCTCCGAGTGGGACAGGGACCGGCCGCGGGAGCTGAGCTGCAGCAGCGCAGGGTCTCAGAGCAGCGCCCCCACCCCGGCCACCCCTCTTCTCAGCCCAGGACGTGCAGCTGAGGGGGTGTCGGGGCCCGGGCAGTGCCAGGCGGGACACAAGGGAGGAGAGAGGGAGAGACAGAGGCAGGAGGGGGGAGATGGAGACAGACAGGGACAGACAGAGACAGAGACACACAGAAAGACAGAGATAGAGAGAGACAGAGGAGGGTGGGGAGAGGCCCCCTGCCCCAGCACACCTTGCTGTCCCCTTGCCCTGCCCCTGCCCACACAGCCCTCTCCCCTGACCCTGGTCTCACCCCACTTTAAGGCTTTGCTCTCTCTCATGGGTCCATTACCTTCTGCAGCTTCCACGGCCCTCTCTGAGCCCCCTGCCCCGTGCCCAAGCGTGCTCGCCTGGCGCCCTTTGTGTCGCCCTTGTCCCAGTCGTGGGGTGGGGTGATACCCGCCACAGTGACAGTGGCTGGTCCTCCGAGCCCGGCCAGCAGGCCCAGGGCGTGGGGCCTCATGACATGGGAGCCGACACCTTGGTGTCGTGGTGTTGGTGGCCTGGGGGCAAGACCCTGCTGCTCCCCGGGCCCAGTGTCCCCAGGCTCACGTGGGGAGCTAACCAGGCTGTCCCAGCCGCACTCGGGCCCCCACGGCAGGGGCTGCACTCCTGCAGGGATGGTGGGCACACGGGGGTGAGCCCTGCCTGTCGCCAGAGTGGACACCTGCCTGGGCCACTCCAGTGACCTCCGGCTGAACACTTTCCCTCTCAGCCTCTGCTTCCCGGCCCGGCCCTCCCACCTCCCTTCCCCCACCACGGCCCTCCCAAAGGAAATCCCGACCTCGGTGGTGTCCCTCCGGGACCCAAGCTGGGAGCAGGGGCTCTGCAGAGGGAAGGGGGCCGTCGCTCCCACCTGGGGGTGGTGGTGGAGCCTTCTCACCTGCTGACGGCTGACCGGCTGACCGCTGTCCCGGCTCTTCTCTGCTCAGGGCTGCACTCACGGCCCGGGGCTTCTCCCTGGCTCTTAAATCCTCCCGCGTCCTGGCTGGCGGACCGGGACACCCTGGGCCAGTTCCCTAAAAGTGGGAGGGTGTGGTCCCCGTTCACAGGAATCATAGAAATGCGCCAAAACAGGGGTGTTGGCAATGCGGGCCACCCCTCCCCTTCCTCCTGGCGGGGACACTGGAGGCAGGAACACACCTCCCCGCCCGCATTTCTTTTTCTCGGCTGTGTTCTCCGGTTCCTGGCTGTGCGGAGTGCGTCAGTTCAACGGGCCAGAAATCCCGTCGAGATGCCCTGTGGCCTTGAATTTCAGAAATTTAGGCTTCAGGTATCACTTCCTTGACACACACCTCAGCCCGGGCGAGGGTTTCTTCAGTCCTGCTGCGAGGTGTCAGGACAGGGCCTGCCCGTTCCCCCCCACCCCACCACACAAGATGCAGGTTGGGGCCCGGCACCCTGCATGTCCTTGTCCCCTCCCTGCGCCACCCCGAACGCTGGTGCCAGAACCTTCTCTGAGCTGCTCCTCAGTCACCTCCTGGACCACCCTGTGTGCCCAGCCCTTCCCCGCCAGACCAACGGCGTCCCCTCCCTGCCCCCAGCAGCCACCAGAGGCCGGGGCTGAGGCTCCCTCCGGGACCCACTTGTGCGGCCACCGGCAGGGGTCAGAGGTCAGGTGCGGCTTCAGCTACAGGACCACGACGTGGAGTCCGAGCTTTTACTCCTCACACGCTCACACTGGGCAGGGCCACCGAGAGGGGCAGCAGCCGTCCCCCGTCCCAGGTCCGGTGGAGACAGTGACCGCACACATAGAGGGCGTCCCCTGTTTAGGGGCCACTGGGGGCGAGGCGGCCCCATTGTCAGGGTCGCTGCCTATCGGGCACTTTCAACAGCTCCGGCGTCGCGGGCAGGTTGGCGCAGGTTGGTGAGGGGCCCGCGGAGGGACCCTTCTCACCTGGGTCAGCCTCCCCTGCACTCACCGTCTTCCAGGCCATTCTTAGGCAGGCCGTCTGCCCCCCGGGAAGGGCTTTTCTCTGTCTCTTCTGTGCCTGCCGCGAGGGGGTCCGGCCTGCCTGTCTCAGGAGGGGCGACCCCTCCGGGCACAGCCACCAAGGCCTGCGGGGTATGTGTCCCAAGCTGCACTGTGGCCCCAGATGACATGTCTGGGTCCTGATCTCTGGAACCTGTGAACCCTGAACGTATCGGGGGGGAAAAGGGTCTTTGCAGTGTCAGTGTGGATTTTGAGATGGGTCACCCTGGACTAGGTGGGTGGACTAAACCGACCACAGGTGTCGGCACAGAAAGGGGAGAGGACAGAGCTGACACGGGGCCCTGCACTCGGGTCCCGGGACACCCTCTTCCTGCCTCCCTGTCTCCTCCCTCCTAGGCCGGGGTCTCCGTGGCAGGGAGTGAGGGGCTTCCTCGGGCTGCCAGGGCGTGGAGGATCCTGAGTTGGGAGGAACCAGACCCCCGGGGCGGTGAGCGCTGGGCTCTGCCGACTCCATCTCTCGAAGCCTCAGTTTCCCAGAGGTTACTCGGGCAGTTTGTGATCTCGGGCGTGGGTGGTACCTAGGTGCCCAGCACCTGACACAGAGGGAAGTCTGGGCGTGTGCTGGCTTCTGCTGCTAGTGGGACCCAATAGTTTTGTTAATGGGAAATAACCCAAACTCTGCAAAATAACGTAAAGAGGTTTATTCTGAGCCGAGTATGTGCGGCCACGGCCCAGAGCTGCGCCCAAGGAGCCTGGAGCAAGTGGTCTCACCTTGGCTGGTCCTAGTCCGGCTTCATACATTTCAGGTAGACAGGAATTACACGAAAAGTCATCAGTCAATCCCTGGAAGGCGTACATACGCTGGTTTGGCCCAAAAAGGCGGGGTGTCTCTAACCGGGGCGTTACAGGTTATAGGTGGGTTTGAAGATTCTTTGATTTCTAATTGGTTAAAGAAATGGAGCTTTGTCTGCAGGCTTAGAAGGCTTTAAGATAGGGAAGTCTGTTAATCAGAGACAAGCCACCGGACATATGCCGGACATAGACTTGTGAACTAAAATAAAATGTTAAGGCTCACCCACGACTGGCTGACTAAATGGACCCACTGGTGGCCAAAGGAATATCCTAAAATTAAATTGCCTGCCATGAGGAGGTAGGTCACACATGCCTCATCATGCCCCCCTCTCTTTTGGGGGACATCCTGTGTAACCCATTAACAGGCCTAGGGGTTGCAAGACAAACCTGCATGTCCTCAATTTACGCAACAAATCTATGTCTGGTGGCTTATCTCTGATAACAGCTCCTTATGTTACAACATCCCAAGCCTTTAGACAAAGCTTCATGTTTTTAACCAATTTACAAGCCAAAGAATCTTTAAACCCCCCTTATAACCTGTAAGCCCTGCCCTCTTTCCAGATGGTCCACCTTTTCAGGCCAAACCAATGTATGCCTCCCACATATTGATTTATGACTTCACCTGTAACCCCCCTGAAATGTATAAAACCAAACTGTGACCCAGCCACAGCCAGTCCACTTGCTCAAGGCTGCTTGGGTGTGGCTCCGGGTCATGGTCCTCAAATCTGGCTCAGAGTAAATCTCTTTAAAATTACTTTACAGAGTGTGGCTTTTTTTCCCTGTCAACAGACTCAAGTGAACTGTTGAGTAAATTGAGGTGTAATGTAAGCTTTGTCCACACCTGCAGGAGTGGTTTAAGCTTGGCCTTGCATGGCCTCAGGCCTGGCAATAAGTCACAAAGAGGCCGGGTGCGGTGGCTCACGCCTGTAATCCTAGCTCTCTGGGAGGCCGAGGTGGGCGGATTGCTCAAGGTCAGGAGTTCAAAACCAGCCTGAGCAAGAGTGAGACCCCATCTCTACTATAAATAGAAAGAAATTAATTGGCCAACTGATATATATATATAAAAAATTAGCCGGGCATGGTGGCGCATGCCTGTAGTCCCAGCTACTCGGGAGGCTGAGGCAGAAGGATCACTCGAGCCCAGGAGATTGAGGTTGCTGTGAGCTAGGCTGACGCCACGGCACTCACTCTAGCCTGGACAACAAAGCGAGACTCTGTCTCAAAATAAATAAATAAATAAATAAATAAATAAATAAATAAGTCACAAAGGACAACTTGAGAAGGGAGGGGGCATGCGTGACAAGATGTGTGTGACCCCCCCCTTCTCGTGGCCAGCAACTCAGCTTTAGGGTATTTCTGGGGTCCTCTTGGCCAAGAAGAGGTCCATTCAGTCAGCAGTAGGGGGGGGCTTTAGATTTTAGCTCACTTCAGAGAGCCAAGCCCACACACCTCACTGACCACACGGGCTGGGAGGAAGCAGAGGGCCTGGGAACCCCCCCACCCCCCCCACCCCGCGTGCGGAGCTGCACGGACCGGCCCCTCTCGAGCTGGGCCCCGGGCCAGGCACCCACGAGGAGGGTGGGCGGGGGCACGGGGGGGGGGGTGTGCTCCAGAGACCAGGGATGGGGGCTGTGGGAGAATTACGCAATTTCCCCAGAACAGCACAAAACTAAGAGTTCATGTTTCAGGTCTGATATTCGGTTGTGTTTTTCCAGCTTCTGAGATAATGAAATAGCTGAGGAGTGAGCGTCCCGGCGTTCCACGATGCAGCCACACTGGGGTGCGGGGAGTGGGGGGTCGGGCAAGTAGGGGTTGCGGGGGGTGGGGAGTTGGGCAAGTAGGGGGTGCGGGGGGCGTCTTCCAGGCCCCATCTCTGCTCCTCACAAACACAGGCTGAGCCCAGACAGCACCCCCACCCCCCTGTCCTGCAGGGTGAGGTCTGGGGCCGAGGCTGGCTGGGGGCCCAAGGGTGGAGCCTCGTGGCTCTAGGGGCAGGAGAGGAGGTGCGGGCAGGGCAGGGGCAGTTGGAGGTCGGGGTCGAGGCTGTGCTCGCCTGGCCGGAACCTGGAAGCTCGCCCCTGCTCCCGGTGTGCCGAAGTCGGGCCACAGGTCTGGGGGCTCAGCTGGGGCCGAGGGCACCCCACCAGCTGCCCTAGCATCCGCCCCACACACCTGTCACACCCAGGACTGGGTAGAGGGGTGTAGCTGGGCCGTTGCCTTGGAGACCGCAGGGGGCTGTGCTCCGTGACTCCCAGGGAAGGTGCCTCTGCCCCAGCAGCCTGACAAGGACAAATTGAGAGCTGCCCCCAAACCCTGGGTGCCGAGGGCAGGCTCTCTGGGAGGGGTGAGGGTCTTGAGGGTCCCCCACCTGTCTATACCCTTATTCAGCTAAGGGGTCTGGGCTAGGGAGGGGCTGGGGGCAGCCAGTGTGGGGCTGAGGGCACCCGAGCCAGCCCCGCCCGGCCAGGCGAGGGGGTGGGGGTGGGAGAGTGGGCTGGAGTGTCACTTTCTGGCTCTGCCACTTTCTTGGTGGATGTGGGCAGTTACTTGACCCCTCTGAGCATCAGTGTTCTCGTCTGTAAAATGGGAGTGTTTTCCCACGTCATTAAAGGAGCCCCTATGCTAATGTCCACGGCCAGTAAAGGCCTGAGGTTAACTTGTGCTTTCCCTCCAGGGTCCTCCTGGCCTGGGCGAAGGGCATGGCCAAGGCCCGGATGTAGGCTGGGCGGACAGGCCGCCTCTCTTTCTGTTCTTGTTTCCCTGAACTGAGCAGCTGATTGCTAATCCTGTCCTGGAGGTGGAGAGAGAGGGCCACCTCGGCCCCCGGACAGCACTGGGAGGAGGTAGGGCCCGGGGAAGGGAGGGTGTCGTGAGGGTCTCGCCAGCAATGCGTGTGGGGATGGGCCCTGCACAGCCAGGGGTGGGAATGAGGGTGGCGGAGCCCCACTCCAGGACGCTGGGTGGGAGTCTGTGACCCAGACTCAGAGAGACGGGCTCAGCCGACTGTTCCCCCGCCTCCAGGCAGGGAGGCTCCGAGTCAGAATTGCCTTGGCTCACAAAACCAAAGGTGACACCTCCCAGACATGTCGGTCTGTGGGTTGACCCACACCATGCGCTGAGCCATGGTGTGCTGGTGCCGATAAAATTGGTGAAGAGTCCCACCAGGCTACGAGATGTTGGACGCAACGCAAAGCACTTTGCATGCATCGATTCACTCTGTCTTCAGCTTTTAGGCAGTGGCGTGCGAGGTTCAGCCCGGCGAGGGGGCCCCAGAGCCCCTGCCCCTCCACCCCGGGAGCCGGCGGCCCCGGCAGGCCTGCTCTCGGGCTGTGCCTGTGCCCCAGGCCCCGCACTCGGGGAGCTCGGCAGCTGGCTGTAGGGTGAAGTCTGGGCGGCCTCCTTCCCCTTAGAGGGGCTCTCGAGTGGGACCAGGACAGAGCAGGGCCTGCTGCCCCGGGTGGGGCAGGCGGGGAGCTGTCCAGGAGCGGAAGCTCGGGGTCACAGTGTTGAACGCTGGGCCAACTGTTGACAGCCCCAGTGACTTCTAGAAGCCCATCTCTGGGCCCCGACATTTCATCTTCTACAAGGAAACATTAAACATGAACGAGGCTTGGTGCAGAGGCTCATGCCTGTAATCTCAGCACTCTGGGAGGCCGGGGGGTTGGGGGGAGGATTGCTTGAGCTGAGGAGTTCGAGACCAGCCTGAGTGAGAAGTGAGACCCCGTCTCTACCAAAAATAGAAAAATTAGCCGGGCATGGTGGCGCATGCCTGTAGTCCCAGCTACTCGGGAGGCTGAGGCAGGAGGATTGCTTGAGCCCAGGAGTCTGAGGTTGCTGTGAGCTAGGCTGACGCCACGGCACTCCAGCCTGTGCGACAGAGCAAGACTCTTTCTCAAAAGAAATAAATAAATTAATTCAATTCAATTAAATAAATAAAAATAAAAAATAAACACGAACAAGTATCAGCATCTATGCTGGGGTCGGGGCACAGGTTCTCATCAACGACAGCCTTGATCTGAGACACACGGAACGCTTTCTGAGGTCCCCACATTTTCCTGCTTAGACTTGATGACAACGTGAGTGTCCCGTAACGAGAATCAGGAAGGCTGCCGGCCACTGTGGACAGAGTTCGGGGGGGAGGGCGAGGCTCTGGGCAGCCTTCAATTTTGGGGTTGTTGCAGCCCACACAGGGGGTACCCTGTGCTCTGTGCTCTGTTCTCTGGCGGGTGTGCGGCAGCGATGAGGAGGCTGAAGGTGGGGAGGAGAGGAGATGGCAGGAGAGGGTGGGGACCTGAGCCCTGGGTGAGGTGACAGCCTTGCCCGTTCCCTCCACCAACCCCTGGCTGCAACTGAGTCATGGAGTCGCTGTGGGCGGAAGCCCGCTACAGCAGCACTCTCAGGAGTCCCTGTGCCCCAGAGCCCTCGGGGAGGTCTCCTGCAAATGCGTGTTCCCAGGAGACCCCGTGCACCTGTCTGGGTGAGCCGAGGACCTGCCCTCCTGCGGCCTCCCAGGTGAGCCTCACCCATCCCACGACCGGGTCATCAGCGAGGGCCCCCTCGGTTCTTGCTGGCCCTGCTTCCGGTCCCGCCCCTCCCCCACGGCGGGCCTGAGCTGGGGCAGGACCCCGGGCTCAGGCTGCTATGTCCACGAGGCCCCGGCGGGAGGTCTCCCTCCCGGCCCCCAGCTCGGCCTCGCCCCCCAGCGCCCGTCGGAGCACCAGGCGGAGGGGCTCGCGCAGCCTGCGGCCCGGGGCGCCGCCCAGGCAGAGGTAGAGGGCGGGCTTGGCGGCGCAGTGCAGGCCGGCGGTGAGGAAGCTCAGGTGGTAGAAGTAGTGGGGGATGTGCCAGTGCAGGTTCCGGGACAGCCAGTAGATGCCGAAGGGCAGGCCGCAGAAGAGGAAGAGGAGGACGGCCAGCAGCACCAGGGCGGAGAAGCCCCGCGGCTGGGGCCGCTGCGGGCCGCGCTCCACGCGCAGCAGCAGGAGCAGGCTGGCGCCGCACATGGCGCCGCACAGGACGGCCAGCAGGGCGGCGGCCACCAGCCACAGCGTCTTGCACAGGTGGCGGCTGGGGGCCCCGAAGAGCTGGGTGCAGGCGCCGCTGAGCAGCAGGTGCAGCAGCAGGCCCAGGGCCCAGGTGAGGGCGCACACGCAGGTGGCGAGGTGGCGCGGGCGGCGGCAGGGGTACCAGGCGGGGAAGAGGGTGGCCAGGCACTGCTCCACGCTGACGGCCGCCAGCAGGCTCAGGCCCACGATGTAGCAGAAGAACCGCAGGGTGGCCAGGCTGGTCTGCACCAAGGCCGGGAGGCGCAGCTGGCCCCGCAGCAAGTCGGGGACGACGGCCACCATGTGGCAGCCGAGGAAGATGAGGTCGGCGCAGGCCAGGTCCAGGAGGTAGGTGGCGAAGGGGTTTCCGTAGACGTGGCAGCTCAGCAGCCAGAGGACCACCCCGTTCCCCAGCAGGCCGCCCAGGCCGAGGCCCTCGGTGAGGCACAGGATGACCAGGTTGAAAGCCGCGTCCTCCTGGGTGCCGTCAGGGGACACCGGGCGCTGTCCGGCTTCTCCAGACTCCATGGCGGGCACCGTGCGGCCGCTGGGCCCGGGAGGGCTGGGGAGGTGTGTTCTGCTGGCTCTCTGTCCCGACAGCCCTGCAACCACGACCACAGCTGAGTGTGGGGCTCAGGAGTCCCCGCCCACCCCATGTCAGGGGCACGGGGCAGCCAAGGTGGGGTGGGGGACGGGGGCTCGGAAAGAGGCTCCTCTCCCATTTCTGCCCCGGCGCCGACCCGAGCCTCCCTTGCCTGCCTGAGACTCTCGGCAGAAGGGCCTCGGACAGGTCCCTGCGGCCAGCTGGGGAGGGTGCCCAGCCCCCCAGCTCCCTTTGCCAGCGGGGTCCTTGATTCTTGGAACAGTCTTGACTTAAAGTCAGAGGTGGTGCAGGGCACGCCGCCCATGTCCAGTGAGCGGAGGGACCGCACGGGGACAACTCTCAGGGGCGTGACAGGTTGTCATCTTAAAGCGACTCTTAATTATCCCAGGCCTTTCCTGGACATCCCACGAGGGGCTGTTGCCAGTGGGCTCGGGGCCTGAGCCCTCCAGCTTGGCCACACTGTATGGCCGTGTCAGGAGGTGGGACCCCAGGACCGTCCCCTCCCCCTGGCCATGTCCCGCCCCTGCTGTCCCACAGCAGGCCCCAGCCCTCTGGGGGAAAAGAGGCTCCATCCTGCTCCCGTCACTCACCCTGTCCCTATGGGGAGAGGAGGGACTGTCCTACGGTGAGGATGTGCGGGACCTGGGCCTCTGTAGGCCTGTCCCCCACCCTCCCTCCTGCCCCACCCAGGTAGGTGGCTCCCCAGGCAGGTGCTGTGTGCTGCGGGGGCTCAGCCCAAGAGGCAGCACAGACCCCACTGGGCCCTGGCTGGGGCCCGGCTCTTCCACACAGCTTTGCCAGGGATGCGGCCACGTGCAGACCCCACGGGCTGCCTGCACTTGGGGCCAGACCCACCTGCAGGTACCTGTCTCACCTGCCACCTGAGGTTAACTGTCCCATCCTGACACCTGAAGTTATTTGTCCCATCCTGATACCTGTGGTTACCTGTCCCAGCCTGCCACCTAAGGTTACCAGACACATCCTGACACCTGTGGTTACCTGACCCATCTTGACACCTATGGTTACCTGTCCCATCCTGACACCTGAGGTAACCTGACCCATCTTGACACCTATGGTTACCTGTCCCATCCTGACACCTGTCCCATCCTGACACCTGAGGTTAACTGACCCATCCTGCCACCTGAGGTTACCTGTCCCATCCTGACACCTGTGGTAACTGTCCCATCCTGACACCTGTGATTACCTATCTCATCCTGCCACCTGAGGTTACCTGGCCCCATCAGGTGACCCTGAGTGCTGGGTGACTCCAGCTCCTCCTGGGACAGTTGGGGAGATGGGATGGGGGCCTGCCCTCTCCCCAGAGACTGGCTCTGGTCAGGGGCCAACATGGGGTGGTGGCAGGTCCTCTTGTCTCCTGGAGGGGCTGGGAGTGTGGAGCGAGGGGGCTGGTGGCAGGTGCAGCGGACCCCTGGGATGGCGAGTCAGTGGCCTGTTCCCACCTCAAGGCTGTGCTCAAAACTCCCTCTCCCCGTTCAGGGCCGGGAGGACGCCGTGGCGCCAGGACGTGGGCCCTGGGCAGGGCTGGCGCTCTGAGCCCAGAGGCGCTGCTCCCCCTCAGTTCAGTCCCTCTGCTCCCCGCTACCTCGTATCTGACCGAAGGACACCTGAGGCTGCCCGAGGGCCCTGGAAGGCAGGCGATGGGAGGGACATTGGAGGGGGTGCAGATGCCTCGCCCAGAGCATCCGGAAGGCACCCTGGGTGGGGCTGACGGGGTGTCACTGCCACTACAGGAGGGGTTGGGGACAGATGCCCTCCCACTCAGGAAGGCCACGTGGGGTCCCCAGCACGCAGGCCTGGAGAGAGGCAGAGAAGAGTTTGGGAGGCCTTAAGTCCATGGACACTGGAGCCCGTCCCAGCCGGTGTGCTACCCGCAGGTAGACAGAGCTGCCCCCGGGATCCCAGGGAACAGGTGGGTTTCTCCAGGCCCGTGGCCCCCATACGGGGCTCAGAACCTCCTATCTCCTCTCCCCAGATGCCTTCCTCACTCACCTCCCGCACCCAAAGGAGCCTGGGCTCGGGGCTGGGGACGGGCCCTGGGGAGAGAGCCTGCCAGGGAAGGGAGAGGAGAGAGCACGCGAAAGGGGGATGGGGGGAAGGGGGAGGGGGAGGACTGAGTCGCCATGGGACACAGAAGCCCCAGCTGGTCTTCTCTCTGCTGTGACCTTCGGCAGGGTTCTCTGTGGGGCTTGGGAGGGGGGCATGGAGCTCGGTGGGTGGGGTCCCCAGCAGTGGCCCCTCCGGGGCGCGGGTGGGTGGGCACACGGCGGCTTTCCCTGAGGAGGGACTTTGGGAGCCCCTAGCCCTGGCTCTGCTCTGCACCCTGCCGTGGACAGTGAGGCCATGAGACTGTCCGGGGCCAGCGGCCGGGCGCAGCGGGAGGAGTGGGCTCGTCTCCTTGACCCTCCCTAAAAGTCGGGCCGGGCTTTCCTCCCCACCGGCGTGGAACACGCCAGAAGATGAGGGAAGTGGGGCAGACGTGGGACAGAGCCAGCAGTGTGGGGACCATTACCCGCCTGAGTGTCCACTTCTGGACTCAGCCCAGAGCTGGTTTGGGTGGGGGCTGGGAGCTGCGAGGTGACAGCATCAGCCACCCCCCGCCCCGCCCCGCCCCGCCCCACCGGCGGCCAGCAGGGCTCAGTGTCCCCACAGTGCCCGGGCTGGCCAGAGCCCCCCTGGCCCGGCCTGCTGCGCTGCTCACCGGTTCCGGGCGGAAGAGCCAGCCGGTCCTGCCTCTCTGTCCCTGGCCCGGGCGCTGTCCTGGCTGCGGGTCTGGGTGGCTCCTGCTCACATCAGCCAGCTTCTCGGAGTCACATGGCATCCGACTGGGAGGGGGCCAGCCGGGAAGGAGTCTCTCTGGGACCCTTCTCCTCCGCCTGCTCCTCCCAGCTGTGGGCAGCGCGAGAAACCCGCACCCTCCCCGCGGCCTTCCAGAGGAGCCTGGCAGGCGGTGCAGGGCCAGGCTGTGACCTCACTGGCTCTCCTGGCTCAGAGACACGGCCCCCATGGGGATCTTTAGGGACCACTTCTCTCCATCAGTGGCTCAGAGGAGCGGGCTGAGTGCAGCTACCAGCCGGCCCGGCCCTGCGGAGAAGATGTCTGTCTCCGGAGAGTGGAGGCGCCGTCGTGAGCTGCTCCGGGCGGCAGGACTGCGGGGGCATCGGGTCTGGCTGGAGGACAGGAAGGTGTGAGTGGGGACAGCCCCTCACCCGGGGCCTCGTTCACAGGCTCAGAGTTGACGGCCAGTGTCAGGCAGCTGCCACTCAATGTCTGGCAGAGGAGAATCGAACCCGTATGGCAGCGTCAGACTCAGGAGGTCTTGTGAATTCTGTTATATCTGCTTGTTCCAAGAGAGGAAAAAGCCCCTTTCAGGCTATACCTGCCCCACCCTCCAGCGCCCTGCCTTAACACAACTGCCTCACAACGACAACGTGCAAAGAGGAAGAAAACGAGGTCACCTTTTGGCTTTTGATCCTCCAAGAGTCTAGGTCCTAGCAGTTCTTTCCTCATCTTTGTGTTTTGAAAAATCTCCAACCTGCAAAAGAGTTGCAAGGAAGCACAGGATTTGCTAAATGTTGACATTTGCCACACGACATTCTCTACCTGTCTTTTGCCACATGAGAGCAAGTTTTTGACGCCTGGTATTTGACCTTTAACTACTTCAGCAGGCGGCCCAAGGGCATTGGCATCCCCCCTCATAGCCAGACTGCAGTGCCACGCTCAGGACGTGTGCACCCCTGCAGCGCCGGTATCCGGTATCCGGCACACAGTGTGTCCTTGTTACGATTTTGTCTCTCGGCTCCAAACCCTCTTCCCTTAGGAGGCTGGTGGCGCTGCAGAGAGGGGGCTCTCCCGGGACTGCAGGGCTGCAGGGGACTTGCCCCACTCCCTTCCATTATTCTGTCACCTGGTAGCAGCAGCTGATTCCAGTTTGTGGTTTTTCCAGTGCTGGACAAAACAGACCCATCGCTTCCCACCAAGACACTGGCCGCCCCGGCTGGCTGGGAGCCCCCTCCTCGGAGGTCTGACTTGCAACTCTGGGGGTTCCCACAGGTTCTAAATTTTAATAATCCCAGCTTCTTCCCTTTGCTCCCCACACCCTAGAGGTGGGAGGTCTTCTTGCAGTTGTTACTTCTAACACCTTAGTATTCTCCTTTTACCTTTCTGGTTTTTCAGTCTCTAGTAAACAATTCTTTGAAGTCATCCCGTCAAAATGACATGTAGCTTTTGCCTCCTAACTGTGTCCCTGCTGGCACTGAAACTGGTCCCAGAAGAAAGACGGTAATTTGGGCTCGTTTGGCTGTGTCCCTGGCCTTGGCCGTGGGGACGAATTTCTTGCCGATGATGCCAGCGATCCGCGCCACGCTGCGACATCATCGCCAACCGCAGGAGCACGTGGGACGGTTCCTGGCGGAAGTGAGTGCCTTGCGGGGGACACTCGGCTGTGGCAGAGAGGAGGGCCACAAGGACCGCGGCATGGCTCCTCCTGAGTGGACTGGAGTCCCTGGAAAGAAGATGATGCTCCCACTCCCTCCTACAGGGGCGAGGTAGGAGCTGGAATCACTCTGCCATTATTGAAAGCCAGGAAACCAAAACTGGGTCTGTGGGCCTGGACCCTGGGCGGTGCAGGACTGTGACCCCTGAGAGAACAGAAGCTAGTGGGCCCGTCCTACCCTAGACAGTGCACCTGCACCGTCTGCCTGGGGGTCAGGTCCCACTGCAGCGCAGGCCGGAGGAGCCCTAGGAGCTCAGCGAATTAAATCCCAATTAAGGAGAGACAGAAAATGACAAAGATTGGTAATCAAAAGACCGGACGATGGACAAACCGCAGAGAAAATCAATGAAACCAAAGCTGTTTTTGTTTTTGTTTTGTTTTGTTTTATATTTTTAAATTTAATATTCACTT